CGGAAGATGCATTATTTAGAAACTAAAAAACAGAGTGATTGACTCATTGATAATCTTTGTGATTCGAGGCTTAAAGTGATCTCAAAAATCTAACCGGAGTGGAAATTTCAATGGTCTATGAAAACGAAAGTGATTGAAATAAATGGATCCACTGGGACTGGGAATTGACTTTCTAATTTTTAGTGATACAAAACCGTCACGCATCTAACAGTAAATACTGTGAACGCGTGAGTGGACTTTTATTTTCATATAAGAGAGAAGATTGATTGGATTAAAAAAACTAAAAAGAAGAAGCACAAGTATGAAGACAGAAAATCACAACTTACTATGTACTGTAGTGGCTGTCTTAACTCTGCATCTCATCAATGGCTCATCATCATCATTAGCAGCAACACCTCCGCCTCCTGCTCGTAATTCTTCAACTTCTTGTAACAGAATCTGTGGAGGAATCTCGATTCCGTTTCCGTTCGGAATCGGCGAGAAGGATTGTTATCTCAACGGCTGGTACGAGGTTGTCTGCAACACCACCACAACCGTACCGTTCCTGTCTAGGATCAACAGGGAAGTGGTGAACATCTCTCTTCCACTTCCAGATGGTGATAAACCATACGGAGTGGTTCACATCAAAGGTCCAGTGACTTCCTTGGGTTGCTCTAGTACTAGTCAAGGACTCAAAAAGTCATCGCCGGATTTGAACGTCACAGGCAGAGGCAGTCCATACTTTCTCACAGACGAGAACCGACTCGTGGCTGTTGGTTGCGGTACAAAAGCAACGCTGACAGATATCGTGTCAGAGGTCTTGGGTTGTGAATCGAGCTGCCAAGACAGTAAAAGTAGTCAACAAGTACCAAACTCGAACTTTTGTAATGGTTACAAATGCTGCCAGGCAAGGATACCGTTGGAGCGTCCACAGGTTATAGGTGTCAATATAGAGAACTTTGGTGGAGGAGAAGAAGGGTGTAAAGTTGTTTTCTTGACGAACAAGAGGTATTCGCCGTCAAATGTTACAGAGCCAGAACAGTTTCAACGCAACGGACATGTGTTGGTAGAGCTAGGATGGTACTTTGATACTTCGGATTCTCGCTTCCGGAGCCCCTTAGGTTGTAGAAATATGACCCGTTACGGTTCTTACAGTAACTTTGATAAATGCGGTTGCGAGTATGGTTACTTCTCTGGGGTGAGATATAGGAACTGCTATTGCAACGATGGCTACATAGGGAATCCATACCGTCTACATGGCTGCATAGGTAAGTGATTGTTTCTTTTTTCTTCATTTGTTGCTGCCTCGACGATCAGTCAGATCATCAGTAATCATGATTCAAAATTTTGTAGACACTGATTCATGCCAAGGGCGTCACAACTGTCGGGAAGGAACTTATTGTGTTAACATGCCTGGATCGGCGTACTCTTGT